TTACACCCCGTTGAGAGGCCAATGTTTTCAACAAAAGTGAAAACGTGACTGCCACGATCAGTCGGTGTGCCTTCACTCGTTTTCCATCCTCTGTCTAGAAGTCAAAGCAAGAATTCTATGTCCATCAACCCACGGTGAATTGTAGGTAGATTAGTTTGCCCTGTTCACGCAAGACGCAAAATTAGTGGCTCAGAGATGAGCTTTCACTCTCATCTGAATACCTCATTGTCTCCATCGGTTGCCGAAGGATTGTGAATTAAAGCACCAAGAAGTGATATTTATGGTTAACATAAGACGCGTATATTTTTGCATTCATTGGATCCTATGCATATTGAAATATATCTTACAATTATAGTCTTTTATTGCTGTAATTATATTGGAAGGCATTACTTGTTAATTAGTCCCTATTTAAATACATGTCTTATTTGATTATCATGTTCTCATGAGGTTTTCCGTAATAAGGCATAGAGAAAAGTATTTTTGCTTATAAGATAGTGTTAACACTGAACGTTTTGTCTGGATTTTCGTAATTTTTAATAGTTGTCATAAAATCGCTTGGTCTAGACTGTAGAATGAAATTTGTTACGAAAAGTTCTTGTTAAATTTACCCAACATTGTCTATATGTATTGCCACTTTTTACCTTTACTTTTACCTTTAGCCTCTTCCAGTGGCTAAAGATTTGTCGTGATGTTTCGTGGCTGTGTAAAACGGTTCTGGTAACTTTGCTAAAATGCTTTGCTTTCATCGTTTTTGAATGCGTAGACGGGTGCTGTCCACCCCATTGGTCAGTCAGTGACGACTGCGGCGATAAAAGCTATTATTCTGCACAACTAATACATGACTTGGGCAAAATGTCTAATCAAACAGCGCTATCTCATCTGCGCTAACTGCAGATTCATGTTCCCTCACTGTACTACACCCTGAACAAAATTATCTTCCCATTTTGGCACAAAGCTCACAATTAACGATAAATTTGTTATATTTACTCCTTTTTGTCTTTGCAAATAATTGCAGATCATTTCAATTTGCTTAAAGTTGTCGGGCGAGAAAATTCTTAAGTGCAAATATTCTGGTCCTGATTATTCTGCTGGATCAGCACAATGACAAGAACTATATTTCCTTGCATTCGCGTGGATGTGACGATGAGTGCAGTTGCCTAATTGATTAGATAATCAAGGAAGCCTGTGTGATTTCAATCTGCGAAACTGGTAGAAACTTGGGGATCGCATCATAGTGCGCCTTCAATGCGTGGTCTGTGCTGCTCTTGCACCTTGAGGCCCTGATATTAAGAAATGACATTTAAGTCTCGTGCCTGCGGTTCAAGCTTTTAGCTGACCTGAGCCGATATTGGCTTTATAATTGCCCAGTAGTTAGAATTCCTGTAGCTCAGTCCAAGTATTGAGCTTCCTAATGAACATTCAAGCCTTGGTAGACGAACTATTAGATACACATACATAAACCCAGCCAACTGAGAAAATTCTCTATAGCCTTGCCCAAGCAGACTAAATGTTTGATGATTGGGACTCATATGATAACAGACTCGCATTGGCGTGAAGATCTCATTAGCAAAATGTTTTTAGGAGAAAGTGCTGAGCAATTTTTAGCACCACTTGGCATTGTTTTGTGTTTACCGTCATTTGAAACCCGAAACAGACCGGAATATATTTTTCCTGATGTTACATCTGGTATACTTCGATAGATGTTTGAAGAAAAATAAGCTTTAGTGTGTTAGTGTATTGTTTTGTGAGTCCTAATTGTCTCGGTTTGCGCGTTTTAGGAGAGGCATCGCTATTACCTTTCTTCCCACTATCTTTTTACAATTGCATTTTAACATTGGCTTTATTCCAACTGTTATAGTATCCGTTTTATGGAATGTATCAAATAAAGCTGCAGCACCCAGGGCAAGCGTACTTGAGCGCCCTCTTCTCTGTCAGCGAAGTGAACCACATCTCCTACCACTTTAGCAATCGTGATTTTAACAAACGCAAGCCGGAATGGTATTTTT